GAATATGTTAGGTTCAGTCCAGGTCGGCGAGGTGAGGTTCGTGGAGTAAGCCCGAGCAGAAGGACCGACGCGGAATGATGATCTGTCATGTACGTCCTAAGATCATCATAACAACAAGTAGATAGAACAATAGCTCTTAGTGAAGTTCAATCCAATACAGGGTTACCTTTCGTACCTCTACTCGGTCGCCTATGGTAGTCATACCACCAGAGGAGACCTTGTTCTAACATTTTTCTCTTTATGCATTGAATGCCGTAAAACCTTGAAGTGGACAATATAACTCATGTCGACGCCGTGAATACAAGGTTACCAGAATACATGTGCGAAAAGTCAGGTCAATCAAAGGCATGCATAACTGGCTGTGCTCGGGCGAACAGACATGACGATCGCTTTTCTCGGCACAACGCTCGCTGAGAGCGTCATAGAATAACTCGGAGTTAGAGAAACCAAGGCCGCGTTTAGTGTTTTTACATTTGACTGTGCTTAACTGACTCCCTTCATATTATGTGTGAGAGGGCAACTATGCAGCGGAGAAGCTAGTATGGGGCTTTAGGCAAGCGCTACAGCCAACATAGAGGCCTGGAAGTGCAATGCTATTGCTCTAACATGACTTCCTCAGCTATCTAGCCTTCAAAGACTTCAGGATCTAGAGAGTGTGTGCCCTCTTGACGAAGTATACTCCCAATTGCTGCATCGTAGTATGCATGGTACTCGCTTGCCTTCCCTTGCCAAATCTCAGCCTCCGAATCAAACAGCATACATTTCTGATCGCTTCCACTCCAATCTTGTGGAAAGTCGCAGAGTTTTGAAAGAGTGAGCGACGTAAGAGAAAGACCTTGTGCAATCTCATTAAGAGTTACCTCCCAGGTATTCAGAGGATCTTCTAGTCGTACGAGTGACATGCGGGTGAGCGTAAGAGAGCGTAATGTGAGCTTGTGAGCATGTAGGAACTGTACCAGGGTACTTCTATCCGTGGCGATTTCGAGTTTGATGTCACGAATTCTGCTCCAGGGCGAGTGGCGGGTCAGCTAGACAAGTAGCTTATCGGGGAACTGAGTGGGCGAAATCGTTGTTGTATTGAGAACCGCGAAGTGCTAGCTATATGGTGCGGGGTGCTGCCTAGAGGAGGCTAGCCCTTAAGCAGAAGGAGCTAGTCCTATAAGAGGAGAGCTAACTGGTGAGAAGTGAATGCATGGAGACTGGCTTGCCCGGCCGACATAGCTGAATGGAGTCCTTCGCGCACTGCCTCTCGGTGGATTAGAAGAGCGGCAAGAGGATGCCGTCGACAAGTCTTCCAAAGACTAAGCGTGAATTTTTTAGGCCTTTCGTGGCGGTAAGAAAGCCAAAGACGAATTTGGCAGCAGTTTCCAGGCTACCCACTAGTTCGTCTTCGTCGGACACGACGTAATCGAGGTGTGTAAGACCACTTACAGCGTACCTCATATAATTCAGCTACTCCTAATAAAGCTTACTCTTCCCGGACATTGATTGATTGATCAAGGCTGCCTCTCTGTCTGCTTCTACTGCGGTAGAATGGGAAGACTGACAAGTCCGTGTTATCTCGTGCCTATCACCATCTCAGAGAAGATGTAAGCGCGCTGGGGTGGCAAACGCTGGTCCGCCGACATACATGCTCAGCTTTGTGAGCCTGCGATCTCCTTGTCTACCCTATGCAAGCGACTGGAGAACGATCTATAATTGAGGTGCTTCTATATCCTCGTCTTTAGAGTAACTAGTGTCGCAGACCACTAACGAAGGATGGAAGTACAGATTCCGCCATCGACAAGCCCAGTCGCTATAGAGAAACCCCGGTTCGTGCTTAAGGGTTCTCAAATTTGGGAGCGTCTTGAGCGCCTTACAAATTGTTCAACAGCAGGTTCTACTCCTGTGGAGCGAACGGCCCTGTTAGGGTGAATCATCGTTGACTTCGCAGCACTTGATGTCCGAAAGCGTAATGTATTCGTTATATCGCGAACCTCCATCTGCGCTTGCTCGCGATCCGCCTTATACTCCTGGCATGGTATTTTCTTCTGTTCCTTTGGCAGTGCGACCCATTCAGTATACGGTAGAAGACTGTTGCTGGCATGCTCGTTGTCGTAATAGCTGGTTTCACTTGGAAGAGTTAGCTGGTCGCCAGGATCGCCTGGTTGATGTATGCTCGCAGTCCAAGCGTCGAAGTTGCGGAATTCTCTGTAGCCGCGAACCCTATAAGTTGAAGTACCAGAGTTTTCACACACGGAGAGAGTGCCGGGTGGCGGGAGATGTTATAGAGACTCGCAGCCACGTCCACAAAGCTCAAAGTACGCGCTCTCAAAGAGAAGAGGAGTGGTTAGCTTATTTAAGCGTTTGCACGTTCCTCTGACTTGCTTCCAGAGTAATGCGTCTCCATAGCTAAAGATCGTGAGCCAGACCTCGTCCGGAAGATGGAATGGAATTGCGGCATAATCGTCCATAACAAGAACAAGAGCCACAAGAGCCATAACTATACTGATCGTGAGAAGTAATCTTAGGGCGTAGTAGGCGCTAAGTAATGAGCTACGAGTTGGGTTGTTGGTGGATGGGACAGTTGCCGTGTGCATTTTGGTGGGGCAGGCCCAAGCTCAGTAGGGCGCCAAGCCGAGCGGGCATCCTGCCTCAAGACGATACGCGACACGTTAACTACGTCGCCAACCGTGATAATTGCGGCAGATACCCCGTTTTGCGCGGTCGTATCCCGCCAACAATATCCTCTCACAAGTGCCTTGCCTAGCGGTGCCCTTCAACCGCCGTGAACATCGCGTAACAATAGTGCAGCGGTCAGACCGCTGAACGGACCTGAAGCTAGACACCTCCGATCCTTTTCGAGGGATGCCACTCGACTCGAATCGTAATCTTCATACCTGGATGAAGTACTACGAACACAAATAATCACAACTGTTGGTAGGCCTTGTATGATCGTACGGGTGAATAACAACAACGAGGTTCTTCTAGTAATTAGTATTGGTATTCATTCTCTACGAACATAGGTGCTACGAAGGTATGCGGTCATTTCCCTGAACCTGGAGATTGTGCGGCACAGCTGTTCGCAGGAGCCTAGGCTACCCTTGTCTACACTACGGCGTAGACGGAAGGTCCGCGTGAGATGCCGGGCACTCTGTCGCTTAACTTTGCGCACAAGCCTACTTAGGAAGCGTAAGCTGCTTACTGCTAAGCAGACGCGACACGGCGGCACAGTTCTTGTCATGACAGCCTTGCGCTAAGCCAATGATAGATTCTTCAAAGCGCTTACGGTAGTCATTGAGTCATGTCGCGGTCAACCTCACTTCTAGCGTGGGCCAACTGATGAAAGGTAGTGATGCGAACATGATGTTGTTGTATTATGGTAGCTACGAAAGTGGGAGATAATCGAGCCGAAGAAGGACGCTAGTCCCAAATAGGAGGCACTAACAAACGCTCCCTCAAACACCAACCGTGGCAGCCTTGCTGTTCCAGCTCGGCCGCTTCTGCACCGCAATCGTTGCTATTGGCCATTGCATACATACAGTCACTACCAAGTGGGCACAATCAGTGATTGCATGATTCTCAGTGCCAAAGCAGCCGAACCGGGATAGCAAGGCTACTACGACTCTTCCAAGCTACAAGCGAGGCTAACTGCGACGTGACTTAATGACGATCGTAAGGAATTTGAAGGATCCATCGACCCAGCGCAAGGCTGTCTTGACAAGAACTGTGCCGCAGCGGCGCGTCTGCTTACCAATAAGCAGCTTACGCTTCCAAAGTGTGCTGTCAAACTACAAAAAGGCCGACCTTCTTGCAGTGAATGCTTGAAGGTATATGTAGTCGATATAGTCGATAGTCTGACATGTGCTTGTAAACAAGATTAAACGATAGAGGTCTCGGCATCTAAGCGTACAGTAGTTAACGATTGCGGTTTCACTCCTGCAGGCAGGTACATAGAGATTCTCAACAGCCCCACCTTCCGTGCATGGCTTAGCGCTATGATGCTTGCCGCGGAACAGTTGATGGAATTGGTCGCTTCTCTATTTCATGATGACCAGACTGTTAAAATGCTGCCTGTAGGGGTGAAGCCGTAATCGCTAACTACTATACTACGCTTGCCTCGTCTACCATCTGTATACGTCATAGTACGGACAAGGGTAGGTCAGGCTCCTGCAAGCAGCTGTGCCGCTTGAGAAGCGTAAGCTGCTTACTAGTAAGCAGACGCGCCGCTGCGGCACAGTTCTTGTCAAGACAGCCTTGCGCTGGGTCGATGGATCCTCTAAATTGCTTACGGTCGTCACCGAGTTATGTCGCGGTCAGCCTCGCTGCCCTGGTTCGTCCGCTTCTGCACCAAGAACGAGCCCCAAATACTGATGCTGTCGTCCCTGCATCTGGCTGGACTTGTCGCGATCATCAGAAGCAACACAAGCGACACGTGCAGTATGGTAATGGCATTTGCACTCCCTCAGACTTAACAGTATCTCTTTATCACCACTAAATGCCCAGAATGATTGCTCTAAATGGATCTCGTACCCATCGCAAAACTCATTCCTGGCATTCGGACAAAGCACATCAAAGCGATAGTCATGGTGAGTTGGCCATACTTATCCTCAAGGTGTGAGATGGCTGTTAGGAGGTTTGGTATGACTCGCGAAGATACATGGAGTTAGACCAAAACAGGACAGATCGGATTACGATCCGCAATTTGCAATCGTGCTAATGTATGAATCGTATGCCAACTCGCAAAATATCATATGCTAGTTTGCTTTGAGTGTAGCCAGAACAGATGTGAATGGGCCAACACCGTGGTGCCGTTACACGAGTAGAGCTAGGTTCTCGTGCATGCGCTTGGATGGCTACTGCCGATATGATAATCGTGTGTTTGAACGAGAATGTGGGTTAAATATGATATAAACAGACATTCACTCTACTGCGCTTGTTGCATACACCTATTTAGCCATTTAGACTGCGAATTGTTGTATCAGCACTCGACTCTCAATGCGACAACATTGCAGTATATCTCACCTCAGCATTGCAAAAGGGTTTTTCAAAAGATCGATATCCTCGCCTAACAAATGGCACTGAATATCGTTCAACAGTCTCCCAAACTGCTTGACTTCAGGTAGCCGTATTGCATCAATCTTGATATCCCGTAACGAGAGGCGTCGCACCTCTTCCACTTCAAGAATTCAGTATATCATGGTACCGTAACGCTTGGAGATGCACATAGCTCACCAGAATACATTGACGCAAAGGCATCTAGGATGACACGATCCTTGTCTAGGCAGGGCCTGAGCGCGAGAAGCATTGTGGCGACTGGAATCGCCCATCGACCAGGAAAACATCTTTCTGCGATAACGATGGCTCTGCGGACATCGGACTTTTTTGTCTGTTTAATGTTGACGGTTTCATTGAAAGGCCTCCGGAGCTCGATGACCCTTTTTGCCCATTGATCCCAAAAATCTTTACTCTCCAGCTCAGGCATGAGTTGAAACAAACCACTGCCTATCAAGTCCTGCATAGTCGCTTGGGAACATTTGCCCTCTATATCGAGATACCCTTGACTGAGGTATTCGCCAAAATAATATCCTATCGGCCTAAGCCGCAGCTGCTGTAAGTAGGCTAAGTTCGGTTGAACATAAGGATCCGAATAGCCCGAGAAAGCGTCTATGATCTCTAGATCTTTAACAAAGGCTGCCTTTGGCATATTTCGAGTGTCGATGATTAACAAGGCAATCTGTGAAGGATCGTATCCATCGGGATTACGGTGCCGCGCTCGGTGCAGACCGTACTGGAGAGCAAACAGCAAGGAACTAGTCCAACAGACTAGGTTACAGTCCACAGGATCATCATAATTCCACCATCGCAGATGAACATTCAATATCTTGGCAGCCTCCTGTCGATTCCAAGTGAAAATATCTTGCGTAGCTCTGAACCCATTCTGTTTACAAGCCTCAGGGATGACACTAGAAAGAGATGTTTGTCCATAGCAGTTTGGTGTGTGGATTCGAAACAGGAATCTTGGGATATTTCCGTCTCGGAGAGAAGGCATCTGACTTAATCGGAAGGGGTCTGGCTGGAACAGGAGGGGCGATGATGTCGTCATAGCTACAAGAGTGAGATCTGCGCCTCAGACCATCGTGATGAGGAAGGGTACGAGAGAAAACGAGATCTAAACGACAACGGTGTTTGAGCCTAGGCTTATCAAAAGTAATTGACCATGCATTAGTGGGAGGAAGTCGAATGCATTTTGCCATAAGTACGAAGATCAAGAGACGTCATACAATGTGCAACTACTTATACAACCTCGCTTTCAACACTAGTCTACCCCGCGGCAGCCAAGATCTTCGATTCGGGAAGCAACATAACCCCGCATCTTACCTTATTAATTACGGATCCGGTCAGAGTGTATGCAATCGCTGGAAGCTAGGCGTGATACCAATTGAGCCCTCTCTGACTTGTACGCTCGATATTTCAACAATTATAGGAGATAGCAAGGCAAATGCTACAGTGTTAGCTCCATGCTGTAGTCCTCAATGAAGTAAACTCTTTCGATCTTCTCTTAGGCCTCTGGCAAGTAGACCGTAGGTGCTAGAATCTCACATTTGTTTCTTATTAGTGGATATCACAGAGACTGAAATCGATTCTTGATCTTGTAAAGCCCGAGCTCAGCGCCGTCGCGATCGGAAGCCAGCTGCTCCACCCCGAGACCCCGGTCCCAGGCATCCAGATTTGTATTGCGCCACAGTGATGGGTGTCGCTGCTGACGTGGCAGATGTTCATTGGACTATAGTCATGTCCCATGCAGCACCCAACTCATGCATTTGGTTCGTAAGAAATACCAACTTCCCCAAAAACCACGCCCACGTGACGACACAGTCAAAGCAGTAGTACCAAGAGTTGAGTATCTAGACACGTAAACGCAGAGAATTTCGTTTATACTAATTCAGTTTCTTAGCACGGTGTTGTATCTGAACGTTCACAATAGAGCAACAAGTTGCTGCACAAGCGCACATGGCCAAAGGCAACCAATTAATAAGAGTGAGATATGGTCGATGACGCACTAGATCACTAAGCTAGCCGCACCACGAAGGTGGACACAACTCCTTATGATTGGTCGATATATGACGCGCCACGAACTCGATCCAATTGCATACCCTAAACCTCAAAGCCGGATGAAACCGGGCTTGACTAACTATCGCTGCGTAACTATACATAGGGATTGTCACGAGAGACAACGAGCAGTAATCTGAGAACTTATAAAGAAGTTTGATTTGTGTGCTACGTACAGTACTCAAGTGTAAATACAAGACGTTGCGTGAAGAAAAGAAGCGGAGAGTTTCGCCAGAGAAAGATATATAGCGGAAGAAAGCTTATGTGATGTCATACCAATGTCGAGACAGTAGCATACTGTCGAGGATAGTACGTTGCACTGTTGCGATAGGAGCGTGCGGATTAGAAGCAGGAGCGTACAGGTTAAGAGTAGGAGCCCATGGGTCAGAGGTAGGAGTGTCAAGGGGACCACGGTGGTTACCGTGACAGTACCCCCCCTTACTCTAGAGCTCTCGAGAGAGTGAGTGATAGCAGTATTGTTCCTGATGTCGGGTTAAGTTAACATTGGCGGTTTTGGTTTTTCTGGGAACTGTTCGTGAAAGCGAACGAAGGTGTCGTTCTCTTCCAGCTCTTCGGCAGGTTCCCAAGAAAGTTCTTTATAGCCAACCCATTTCACGAGGTACTCGTTTCGCTTTCGTCGTTTATTGTAGCGGAGGTTCTCGACGCTCTCGACAAAGTAATGTGGTTCGCCGTCTACGACGAATAGTTCAGGTGGCGGTACGTGCTATCCAGGCAGAAAATCTAATTTTGCCGCCGCAAGTCGGAGGAGGGATACATGAAATACTGGATGAATCTTCATCGTAGCGGGTAGGTCGAGTCGGTATACGTAAGAAGAGATCTTCTTGGCCACACGGTAAGGACCAAAGTTCTTCCAGTCAAGCTTTTTCGAGGCGCGTTGTGTTCTGATGTTGCGGGCGTCGAGCCAGACTTCGTCGCCGACCTCGTACGCTAGTGCTGGCAACCGTTTTCGGTTGGTATATTCTTGTTGCATAGCTTGTGCCCATATCATTTCTTCGCGGATGAACTCAGTCACATCGCGCATCTTCTCGATCATCTAATTTACTTCTCGAGCCTGTAAGGCTTAGTACGCAGGTCTCTTTATGCCGTAGGGCGGTTCAAAACCCATTCGGGGGTTCTGGCCGTAACAGGCCATCCTAGGGACACCCCAGTAGATTCGGATACAGTATTGTTGGCTTCGAACTGGGCGGTGGGCAACCAGCTTACCCAGTCATCCTGTCTGTAGTTTGTGTACGCGCGTAGGACTTGTTCCATGACGGCGTTTGCATTCTCAGTTTGACCATCAGTTTCAGGATGAAATCCTGTAGAGAAGCGCGGGTCGATCTTCAGTTGTTTGCACAATTCGTCGTAAAAAGCGGAGACGAACTGCCTGCCTCGGTCAGAAATAATTGTGTCTGGGAGGCCGTGGTTGCACCACACGTAGCGGAGGAACATTCGCGCGACGTCTATGGCTTCCATCTTGGTACAAGGGATCATATAACGGTATTTTGTTAACCGTTCAACGACTACCATGATGTTTTTATACCCTTCAGATTCAGGGAGATCGACAACGAAGTCGATAGAGATGTCTTGCCATCTCCGTTCAGGTACAGGCAGCGGTTTCAGAAGGCCGTGGCACTTCTCACGAGAAGCTTTCGAACGGCGACAGATATGGCAGCAGCTGACGTATCGACGAATTGTGTCGAACATGCGGGCCAGTAGTACTTACGTTGGACGAGCTCGAGTGTTTTGCCACGGCCAGGATGGCCACCACACGCGGAGTCATGTGCTGCGCGGAGGATCTTCATCTTGAGCTCATCGTTGTCAGGTATAACGAGCCGGTCGCGATAGTACAAGCGTCCTCCTCTAGCTTCGCATTCGCTCAAGGTCAGGATCTTCGACCGTCGCGCACCATCTTTAAGCAGTTGCAAGGTTTCCTTGACCAGCGGGTCGAGTGGGTCGGCTTCGTACTCATCCTCAATGATCTGATAGATGGAGCGATCTGTTTTTGTGAGGCAGATTTCCACTGGCGTCTCAAACAGTTCAGGTCTCAGTAGCGTCTGTTTTGGGCTCATACATAGGCAAAATGGTCGGTTATTCCGGTTAACCGGTTGGTCGGCGTTTTCGGTCGGTCTCGGTCGACCGGTTTAATTAATATAATTAAATCGGTTAAATCGGTTAAATCGGTTAACTAGTTAAATATCTATAAGTGTTGGAAGGCCTTGTACGATCGTACGGCGAACAACAGTAACTAAGGTAATCTTGTGTATTGGTATTGTCTACGAATGTGGGGGCTACGAAGGTATACATATCATCGGACCTGAGGGGATCCGAAGTAGGATCGAGGCGGTACATTAGGCCTCATTAGGCGACACACCGTGTGTATACCGACAATAAGTGTCGGATCGTGAGTATCGGTGGGGATGTCGGCTGCTCAACACTTCGGCCCAACTTCGGCCCAACTTGTGCTGAGCTTAGGTGTACCTTCGTAGCACCTATGTTTTTAGATAATCAATACCAATATACCAGCCACCTGTCAGATAGCAGGCGTGTCGAGCCGAAAGTGCCGACACCGCTAGCTAATAACGGGTTAGCGTCTTAGCTGAACAAAACTCTCAGCGCGCACCTTAGAACAGACACAAGAACAATCAATTATGAACATCTATCACTTTTGTGCAATATCTTATCTAATCTGACAACTTTATGCAAAGGGCATTTCCTTCAATGCAGAGCAACGGCGTGTTCGCTGTATAGCCCATATCATCAACCTAAGCCTCCAAGCATTTCTACTTGCGTCATCGAAGGAAGCACTTGAAGCTGCATTTACTGAGGCCGCTGAAGTTGAGGGCGAAGAGCTTATTAATACATTCTCAGATGTGCTAGCTGAGAGGCGAAAAAGAGAGGCAGAAGAGCGTTCTACGGAAAAGGATCAGGCTGTACAAGAACCTAGAAAGAGGCGGCGTGCGAATACAGCTGAGAGTGTAGCAAGCCAGGAGTCTACTGCTGATAAGTTTGTGGGCATTGAGAACATTCCAGCATTACGCAAGCTCATGATCTTGCTAAATTGCTCCGCAGTTCTACTATCTACATGGACTTATGGCGAGATACTGTAGGACTGCAGCTAGGGATCGACAATCGCACTCGCTGGAACTCATGGTATTACTTCATCAGCCGAGCAAAAAGGATGAAACCTCAGATTGTGGAGTTTATGTTTCAGCATGAAGTAGCTCTCGGAGATAACCGGCTTACTGGAGAGGACTGGCAGATTCTTGATAGAGCACATGAGTTCCTTGAGACATTTGCTGAGGCTACTTTGTACGCGGAGGGGAAGAGCTCAATTGCTCAACCGCTGCTTATTATTGAGATTCTTCTAAAGAAGTTTGAAGATGAGAAGGTACGTTTAGAAAGCTAAGACTCTAGGATTCTTTACTAACAAGGCTTGTAGAAGAGATACTCCTCTGGGCCTGAAAAGGACCTCCGTATGGTCAGAGCTATCAATATGGGCTGGTTTGTCCTCAACAAGTACTATAGTCGTGCTGACGAGGTTCCTGCCTACGGAGCTGCTATCCTTCTTGATCCGTCATCTCGCCGCGCATA